GAGCCATATTCCAGCCCAAACCATTTGACAAATATCCTTCACATGAACCTTAACTTGCACCATTCCCTGCCGGTAAGCTTCTCCTCTAAGCCGGGTAACGTATTGGCCGTTTAAATTAGGGATACGTTGAACGCTGCATTCGTCGGAAAAGATGAAGCTTTGAGCTGGGAATTGTAGCGTTCAGCCCTCCAATTTCGGCAAAATCGGACTCTTTTGCGGGCGTTCTCCCTCGAAATTGGGATACAACGCCTTGCTCGATAGCGCTGAAGGAATTTTGAACGTAGGAATCGCTTGATTGATCGAGATGGATGACTGGGTATACGGGCGCTCAGCTCACTAAGGCTTAGCCAAGGCTCACGGCGTGCAAGTAAACAGGTGTATTTGATAGTAGAGTACCTATAGACTTTAGGGGCACCTGAACGAGGCAGTGATTTAAGCGTTTGGTGCTCTCGGAATCGTTTGATTGTAGAGTATATTGTTGAGCGTGCGACGTTGAACTCAGCAGCCATTTTAGTAGGCGATACACCACATTCACAAGCGTATATAATAGCTGCGCGGGCCTCAGATGAAAGCTCACCCCCAGGCCTTCGATTGCCACTTATTTCAGTGCCAAACCGACGCATATTGGTGGTGTAGAGGGTAGTTGAAGAAGATGGGTGGGGGGTGACGCGAAAATCGCGCTAAAAAAATAGCGCGATGTCTTCAAACTTTTGGACCGCCTTTGTAGTTAATGGAAATGTAGGAGCCAAGTTTCTTGCCGGTCAGCAGACCTCACTACACAAGACTAGACCTCGCCAAGCGCGGGTTTGGGTTGGGTTTTCATTTTCTTTACCCGCCCACGGGCAACCCACCGCGGGTTTTGGCTGTTGGAATATCCCGGTTGCTGAGATAATAAGAGGCTGGGATCACGTGCATACATTCACCTACCTCTCACTTCACTTGTATCTTAGACAAACAACACAACACACAATCAACTCCCCTCAATAATATGACCATTGAAGCATCACTTAATAAAACAACATTGGCCTTTGTTGAGATACCCCGGTTGCATGGATAATAATGAGGCTGGGATCACGTGCATACTCATATACTTGACTTCTCAGTCTACTTGTATCTTACACAATATGCAACACAACAACATCAACCCCCTCAATAATACAAAACACTGAAGCATCACTTAATAGTTCAACACTTGGGTTGGGTTTCCCGGATGACAACCCGCCCACGGGTTTGCTGACTAAGACCCAACCCGGCCCATGGGCTGTGTTGGAATTATTATTATTATTATTATTATTATTAATTATTTAACGTCGCCGGCAGGTCACTTGGCAGGTGACCCGCTACCTCCCGAGGGGTAACTGGACGTGCTACCTAAGCGATGATTTACTACAACTAGCTAACTAGCTCAACAAAATGTACGCTGGAAAGCAGCAAATTTGAGCACTACGTGCTGAGAAAGGAATCGAAGGAGCGCCAGGCACTATCCTGGCCTGGGTTCCTGGGGGTGGAGTACCCGGTCTGACTACCCGTGGATGGGAGAGGGTGCCAGCCTCTCCTATTTAGGCAGAGGTGAAGACTGTTGCGCTATGCGGCGCATGTTTGTGCCCGATTTGGGCAGATATCCTTAAAGAAGGACGTTTCTTGCACGAAACGGCCGAATTCCTCGGCCCCAGCAGCTGTGCTCAGTATCCAGTCTATCATTGCAGATGGGCTGACCTTTGGACCTTTCTATTGATCCTTCCAGCGTTTCCTCGCAGGCGGGCAGAAGAAGAAGTGGACGGGGGATTTTGGCTTACCGCAGGAGCAGGTCGTAAGGGAGTCCCTGTGATGGAACCTCTCGTGGTATGCCTGGAAGTCACTATGGCCAGTCCGCGCGGCTAGTAGCCGGCCGAGCACCCCGCGGGGAAGCCGGTGTTCCCGAGCGCGGCTGTTCTTGGTGTGAGGTTGAATATTTAGGTCTTGGTATGCCTGAGGTGCGTCCCTGGTATACGCAGTACACGTTGCCGCGCGGGTATGTTGTTTCGCTTCGCGCATTAGGTAAGATAGGGAAGGGGGAATATGGGAGCCGTCTAACGCTGCGCCCCTCTTTGCTAGCTCATCGGCAGTCTCGTTCCCTGCTATCCCGGAGTGGCCTGGCATCCAGCGTACCTCCACCGGCGTGCGGGGTGTGCTGAGGATATAGGGAGCGGATTTCCACTGGGTAGTGAGCTTTTGAAATAAGTTCGTGAGTTTTCGTCTGTGTGGCGCAGGTCTCCCGTCCGCGAGTAGGCTAGCGACAGCGAGGTTATCGAGGAAGATAACGAGGCCGGCGGAGTAGCTTGCGCAGGGTAGGTTGACAGCCGCCTGGAGGCCCTCTACTGCGCCCATAAGCTCGGCGTCGTACATCTCTGTCTGGGAGCCAGCTGACCCATACCCTTGGGTGATAGGGATAGAGCCGTAGTAGACTACGAATCCGTACCCAGCCCCTTGGCTAGTGCGTGAGCCGTCCGAGTAGACCGTTAGCCGTAGCGGTGCTGGTGAGTATACGGCCTTGTTTGTGTCCGTAGTGGGTAGTATGCGGAGCGGTGGGAGACGCGATTCTATGCGTGCTCTCTCCGGTGCGGGCGTTGGGACGCGTTGGAGGATTTTGGTGAGTCTCGTCCCTCTAGGATCGTATGCGCTAATGGTGACTCTCGCAATCGGGTGCCTAGCGTCTAGGCTCGCGTATCGGACTGCTGCCTTTTGAAGGACGCCGTCGAGGAGGGCTTCCGGGTAGGGTAGATCTGCCTTGCGAAGTAGCGCTGAGGTAGGGGTTGTTCTGTAAGCTGGAAGGATGGCTAGAGCCGCGAGCCGGAGTAGGGAGCGTAGAGAGTCGATGAGGCCTTTCTGCCCTCGGCCGGTGTAGAAGACCTCCGCGCCGTATAATGCTGTCGGTATCACGCACTGAATGACCGCTGCGCGCATAGAGGAAACCGGACATCCTCGCTGGGTGTTGCTGAGCTTCCGGAGATGTAGTGCGAGCCGCTTTCCCGGCTGAAGACCTAGTTGGTATGTGGCCGGAAGGTGAGCTTGCTGTCCAGTAGGACGCCTAACCAGCGGGTATATAGGGGTGGCTTAATCTCGCCTACCCCTGGTAGAGTGACCGTAGGCGCGGACAGCTTCCGCTGCTTCGAGAAATGTTGGATCTCGGTCTTCTCTGGGGAGAATGGGAGACCTGATGCCGCTCCAGATAGGGTGATTGTTTTGTATACTTCTACTAGCTGCTGGGATGTCTCCTCGAGGGAGTCCCCAACGAACAGAAGCCCTAGGTCGTCCGCGTAGCAGAAAGAGTTATCTTGTGAGGAGACTATCTTCGCTGCATATAGGAGGAAGAGGACAGGGGATAGGGGGGGGACCCCTGTGGGAGGCCTCCTCTGAGCTTTGCGGTGGCGGTAGCGTCTCCGACCTGGACCGACACGGAGCGGTCGGATAGCCAGTCGCGTATCCAAGAAGTAAGGCCCTCGTCCCATCCCTGGAGGCGTAGGTGTGATAGAAGCCGCTGGTGGTCAACCGCGTCAAAGGCCCCTTTCACGTCCAGTAGTAGTAACGAGGCCACCTTCTTCTGCTGGAAGGCTTTCTCCACCCTATGGGTAAGGATCTGGACTAGGTCTACGGCTGAGCGGCCGGGTAGGGCGCCGAAGTGGCACGATGTTAGTAGTTGTGCTTGAATGGTCTGAACCGTGAGTCGCCGCGCGATGAAGCGTTCTAGGCCTTTACCTAGGGTGGAGAGTAAGCTAATGGGTCGCCAGGACTTTGGCAGTGTTGGAATATCCCGGTTGCTGAGATAATAAGAGGCTGGGATCACGTGCATACATTCACCTACCTCTCACTTCACTTGTATCTTAGACATGCAACATAACACACAATCAACTCCCCTCAATAATATGACCATTGAAGCATCACTTAATAAAACAACAGGGCGGGTTTTGGCGAGGCCTACATATACCTGACTTCTCAGTCTACATGTATCTTAGACAACACATCCAACACAACACACAATCAACTCCCCTCAATAATATGACCATTGAAGCATCACTTAATAAAACAACAGGCTGGGTTTTCGCGGGCGGGTTTGGGCGGTGGGCGGGTTTTGGCGAGGCCTACTGGTCACCAGCCTACTTGTATCCTAGATTATATGCAACACAACACACAATCAACTCCCCTCAATATAATATGAACACCGAAGCACCACTTTCCAACCAAGAAGTCTAACTAGTGAGGGGTGAGACATTAGACTCACTCGCTTGTATAACCAACTCACCCATGTATACGTTATCCCCTGATTCATAAACCCGAATGCTGGGACAGCAGATAAGTTTCGTCGAACTGTAAGCTCTGGTGGTAGGCCCCACATTCCGCCGCGTATGGCCTCTCCAAGGGCACGCGGAGCACCCTGAGCTTGAAGCCTTTGGATTTCGATCGCTCGCACTACTTGACCCTTATTGAGGCTTCACTTACATACTATAGGACCTATCACCTTCATTACAGAACAACGGGGTTCAAAAGTCTTTTGACACTTAGCGCGTTTTGGGCCCCGTGGATCGTGTTGCCCCCATCCCCACCACCGCGTTATTTTTTTATCCTACAACCACGGTATGACTTCAATTAGCCAGCAGCTTCAGTTCGACATATAATATAGGCGTTTATTATAGTACTGGAATTGAACTTTTGAGCTAGAAGTGACTGGGACGGTTGGCTTCTACAAGAATGTTAACCCACATCATTTACTACCAGCCTAACTTGAACGAGAGAACCATGCCTGCCGAAAAGAAATTCCCATTAGTCCGCAGTATGGCTTCCCGATGGCGGTTTCGCCAATCTAACGAGGACACTCAGGGTCCTGCTTGATCCTTGTTCTTTCTCTCTACACGGACGACGAGTAAACTAATTAGGTTGTTTCTTGACTAGATTTGATAGGAAAATAGTATCGGGTCTGTAGACAGTCTCGTGAAGTGATACTCTGTCGGCCTTTTCAAATACACTTAAATGTCAGCCATACTGCTCCCTAAACTCTCGATTGCATTCGGCTCGCTTGTATTTCTCTTTCCCCTGCGAATTGAACCGTCGTTGAAATCGAAGTGGGGTAACTGCTGCCGAGCTCTGCCCACAATTTCCGTATGCATGCACTGAAGAGCATCAAGGATTCGGCGTAAGAGTGTGTAGCAGTTGGGAATGTTCGCCACTATCACAGCCGTAGATGCCTCCCGTACATACCAGTAAATCCATTGGATACTGACAATATTTGCGAAGGAGTACACACGATTTCCTATCGCGCATGCGATCTGCTTATTGTGAGCATTGACACTACAACCACGGGGGTAAAGCATGTTGTGTCTCACCACGAAGATGCCAAGACCAAAAGTACAGCTCAACAGAACCTTTCTAGGTAGTGTTAGCACATTGTGTGGTGGAAAAGGATGGTACGTACTTCAATGTCGACATCTTCGACCTAACGATCAAGGGTATTGGAATAAAGAGCATGGCAATATCGGACGATATGTTGAACACGAACGACATGATCAAATGGTGTTCCGCAGTCGTGCATTGAACTATCTGATGTTAGTTTAGAAGAGCTAGAGGGCGAAAAGGAGATACCTGAGTTGTCCACCTTCACGGCCCAATAATCGGAAACAGGATGGCACCAGACCGCATACATGAATATCTCAATGACGATCCAGCTTAGTGCTATATAGACCATCATTATTTTCACTAAGACCGCTTCTTTGAGCCCTTTGCTTCACGTAGGCACAGCGTATAGGTCAGAAAGCTGCGTGGTTAGGGAGTTTGGAAATTACTCACGTCAATCGATAATAAATAAGAATCAGGCAGGTTTTGCAGCCCCATTGCACCAGTATCATGTTTTGCTCAACAATCATGGCGACCTTGCTGGCGTAGATACGATCTTTGATGTCTTCTGTCGTAAGGCCCTCCAACCCTGTCAACGGTAGCAAATTGGTCTCCTGGTGTTTTGATTGTATGTTCACCCATATGACGAGATTGATATACAACCCCTGGCGAAGTCAAGACCGCCCAGCAACTAATGTTGCGGAGGAGGAACAGCTCACATATACAAGGATCATCACGTAATCCTCAAGTAAGTAGTGTTTTGGCCCTTTCAAGAGCAGCGAGCGAGATATACTAGGCACTTATATTAGGCACAGATAGACACCTTTACAAATGCAGCTAATACTTACAACCGCCATAGCACGACGATGGTAACAAGAGACAGCCATATCCAAGTCTCAATCAATCGAGTGTGCATATTGCGTCATATGATATATCTGTCTATTAAATAGGGACAGAAGATAAGTCGTGACTCGTGTAGCAGTTAAACATTCGAGAACATATCTACGTGTTGAAGCGACAGATCAGAATACGGACATATTTAAGCTCAAATATTACCTCTCAGTAGCCGCATCGCCTGACTAAGCTGAATCCCTAAGCAAAGCACCCTTATCCTCAAAAGTCTAGAACCGACAAGCCATCAGCACGGCGCAGTGGCACAGAGAAAAACTCTTCATTTGTCCAATTATGAGTTGAGCCATCCTGGTGGCTCAGGTTGGTAAGTTCATGGCTTAAAGAATTTCCCCGCCGATTCTGTCTATTTCAGCTAATGGCGAGTTATTGTATTAAGTAGTACGTCATGACTAGACCTCCAAACGCGGGTTCGGGGCGGGTTTTCATTTTTCCTACCCGCCCACGGGTAACCCATCGCGGGTGTTGATTTATAAGGGATGCTTCAGTTTTCTTATTATTGAGGGGAGTTGATTGTGTGTTGTGTAAGATACAAGTGGACTGACATAACGGTTCGTCCTTGTTGAGTATCGCGGTGGTCAAAGTTTACGGCGGGACTAGCTGTTGTGATATGAGGCTAGGCCTCGTAGGGAGTCGCGATTCTCCAGGTTCGATTCGACTCGGAACCGCCAAGAATCAGGTTCAGATTCCAAGGTTCTGAGGTCGCGATCCGACTCCAGGATTCTTGGAGTCGAACCTGACAAGTTCGACTCGAACCTCAGGTTCCACAAACAGTGCAAACATAGTGATTCTCGTGACACGCATATTTTATGCAGATTTTGACTGTATTTTTGAGTATTTCCCGTACAGATTAGTTGAAGGGTTAGATGAGGTTACATAAGAGAAATATCGTAGGAAGATCAGATTAAAATAGCTTTCATTCAAAATTCTACCGATTCTATGGCTTCCCATACACAAAGTCTTCGTCCCGCCTAGAACGCTTAGGAAGCCGCCCTGATGAACGCCTCTGAGTACTGCTCTCTCCCTGTATATGGATATTATCGGGTAGGGGGATTTCATCATCTTCATTTGATTCAGCCGAAGGCCCCGGGTCTTCCGTCGCAGATTCTGTCCTTGGTCTTTTACCGAGGGCACGCTGACTGACTGGTTCGGCAGGTTGAGATATAGTGGCTAAAGGGTCTTCCTCAGTATCACTGATAGGATCGAATTCATCCTCTGCTTTCCGAATTTCCTTTTCTTCTCTTGCCACCTCGGCCTCCTGGGTGGAAAGATACTCTTCTATAAGGGAAAGTTGTTCAGACTCCATGTCAAACTTGGTCGTACACATGAACATCATAAGATCCCTTATAGTTTTGGGTTTCAACGAGCCTCGGCGGTAGTGACAGATATCGCGAGCAGAGTTGAATAACCGCTCAACGCCAGAACCACTAGCAGGCGTGGTAAGAACATCCCGTGCTAAGCTTGCGAGGATAGGAAATTCATGCTGATGATCCTTCCAGTACGTCCGCGGGTTGACTACTTGCGTACCTAGAGAGATTAGATAGAGTGAGGAAATTGATAACGGACTATCACTTACTACTTCCAAGATACCGCGAAAGCTCGTCATAAGCGGTCGTCTGTGGCCGGAGAGAGGAGGCTGCTGTTAAGAGGATATCAACATCAGAGATCCCCCCTACCGAGGGTTGGCCGTTTGATGTAGGCTGTGACTCTGAATAGCGCTGCTGATAAGGTATGAGGTACTCCTCGAGGCTCGTACGGTATCGCACACGCCAATTTGGCTCCCAGTCCTTAGTGGAAAAGAATTCGAGCTTGTTTTGTGGCGCTAGGATTGTGCCGATTGCATAAAGGTCATTACCAATCTCATCAGTCATCCTATAATATTCTGAAAGCTTCAGCCCTGCCGCCTGTAGGGCAGATAGCATCACTCTCTTCCAGCCAACCTTCTTTCGCGCAAGCTGTGCCCTAGATTTCTCGAGATGAGCAAACAGGTTGTTGTAGATCGCAAAGACACTATGAATAGTGACTTCTTTAGTCTTTGAGAGAGAGGTGGTGAAGGTAAAGAAAGGTTGTGTGATCGAAAGAAGGTAATCAATCTGTCGCCATTCTTCCCGACTTGGCTGCAGCTCATGATTCTCGTACTGGGTGCAAAACTCATTCAAAACAGACTGCAGGCGCTTTGCACGTCGAAGCATCAAATACGTGAAATTCCAACGTGTCCGAACGTCTTGCATTGGAACAAGCTTTGGTTCTTTAGCCTGAAGATCTAGGAAATTCTCTCGGCGTTGAGGGCTCTTATTGATGAAGATCGCTAGCCGTCAAATCTTCTACATCGTTAGTAGTGAGGATAGCAGAAGAGATAGGACCTTACCTTATCAAGGGTATGCACAATCTCTCGGTTCTCTTGCCGTGTCCCATTATCTCTCTTGATCCACTCTAACTCTTCTCCGTCATTCCTTGGATTCACTTCTATTTGACCAAGAAGTTCTTTCAAACTAAGTTGAATAATATGTACGATACACGGTATCCGAATGATTGGTAACTGGTTTGGCACCTCGAGTGACTGGAGAGAGTCTTGGATACTATCCATCAACGTTAAGTTGTTAGACGCATTATCAGTAGTAACCGTCAAGACCCGGTTTTCAATCTGATGCTTTTGAAGAAGGTCGAAGAGAACTAAGCCTAGATTAACTCCAGTATGTTGCCCATGAAGAGGCTCGAAGCCTAGCAAGATCTCTCGGTAGTTCCAGTCATGATCCATGAAATAGCCTGTGATGGCTATAAATGCCTGTCGAAAGGGTGAGGTCCAGCAATCTAATGCAATAGAAAGCTTAGCACCGGTAGGTAGCTCCTGAAGAAGAGTACGCTGTCTTTCTGCTACCATTCCTTGAAGTTGGCGCCGGATAATATAAGCAGAGGGTATTTCCGGGAAAGATGGAGCAAGCCTATTCATCTCAAGGAGGGCACGGAAATGAGGACTCTCAACAAGCTGAAATGGCAATCGATGGGTAGTAATGAAGGTTACTACCCTCTCTATCCAGGCTTGCTGGGTAAAGGTAGGTTTTTGAGAGGCTAGGTGTACCTAGAATTACTTGGTTTTAGTAATTACTATAGAGAGTAATAGGGATAAACAGGTTAACATACACCGTCTTGTATTAGCCTTCTGATATCTTTGGAGCGAGGCGCTCCCTTCCGACAGTTGACCCCTTGCTCGAAGTGTTTATTCATAGACGATGTTCCGCGATGGCCGTCCGCTGGATGATTAAGAGTATGATCGCATACTTTGCACATAACCTTAGGGGCGCCGTCTTGTATAGCCGCTACCTGGTAGAAATGCTGCCAACATTCTGCCTGGCGCTTACTCTCGAAGATATTGCGTTTGATCCGACTACCATGCTCAGTGTTTATCCACCATGCAACGAACTCATCATTTACCATTTCGGACCAGAGGACGTAGTTCTTCTGTTTCTTTGGGCCAACGCGCTCGAGGGCATTAGGGATAGGGGGCGGGAGTAGTGGCTGGGCGAAGTTAACGTCGGGCGCGGAGATAGGCCTCTGGCTGTATAGTGCATCAGGGTTGAATGACTGAGCACTATCAGATGGAAGGAAGGAAAGACTGTCTAAAGGATTATCCTCGAAGACAGATGAGGGATAATTGTCGGAGAACTGAGAGATCTGACTCTGTGACATAGTGAATAATCGAATTGAGGTAGCAAAGTCTAGTAAAGAATAGGAAGAAGAGACTTACAGGAAGCCTTGTAAGGTAGAATCAAGAGAATTAGTAGGAATGTAGTGCATATAGCGGTGGGCGCGAGCTGAAGGAGGATATGGATACGTCTATTTTAATATCGACTAGCCTACCTTCTACGAGCACGGTGATTAGCTGTAAAATCCCACACCGTCAGGGTCCGTCAGGTTCAAACCTGAGTCGAACCTGGCGGAACCTGTCAGGACCGTCTCTGGAACCTGAAGGCCGAACTAACCTACATGATGCGTTCTAATGCCGCTATGATTTTGCCTTGAGTCCCGACCGTCAACAGATGGTAGTGTCACTTTAAGTAACGAATTGAGAAATATTCGAGTAGACTAGTACTTGAAATAATACAAAATAGTATTAAAGTAATACTTCTAGTATCTAACTGGCTAGTTCAATTCTAGCGCCTGCTACTGGTATTTATTCAAGAGTTGACGAGGATCATATAGTCCCCCTCCAAGGAGAGAATATATTTCCCGCTTCATACACCATATCAACCACAACTTCTACGAAGATTAACCGTTGAGAGGCTCGAGGCTACTAATTTTAGCCAGATAAAGGATTTGAAGAGGAACTGATTCTATATACAAAAAAATTTCATTCAATTTCGAGTGTTTGATAGCTATATAACGACTACTGTAGGTATTGTGACCAGAACAGATGTAAATAACAGTAAAGAATCTAGATGAATCATCATTTTATGCGTCCGAAAAAGGAAGATCTTGGCGAAATTATGCAATTCAGGGTCTATCAGGTGCGAACCTGAGTCGAACCTGATGGAACCGCGATCCGACTCAGGTTCCGACTTTTAGAACCTGAGAACCTCAGGTTCAGGCTCGAGATTCCAACCTTTGGAACCTGAATCGGACCATTACGAGGCCTATATGAGGCTGGTGCAGATCAGGAACCAAGCCGAACCATCGGAATTAATCCCGAGATATCTATACTAAGAACCAAGTTGATTTCCAATCAACTTGTTCTTCTCGTTGTATAAATATAGCCTAATGTTTCCTTCTGAACAATAACAATTAATACCTCTGAACTACAACACGATGAAATGCGTAGTGTGAGAAATTTCTGCTGCTGGGTTGACCTCAACCTATATGAGATCCACCGATGGCATGTGCATATTCAATGGTGCAATGCACACTAGCTAGGGGGTTGCAAACGACCTAAGGTCGTGAAAAGCCTGAGGAATAAATAAATAACCAATGCTGAAGACAAGGTATCTATGATTCGTCCATGTGATTGGGTCCAAAGCTGTTCCTATATTATCCCTCTCAGTCACCGCTAATTTCCTGCCATTTCCTGGCATTAGTCTGCCGCACTGGAAATTCCATGTAATTCTGCACACAGTGCCGTCTTACCAAGGGTCATGTGACCCGCAACCATATGTATTATCCAGTCAGGCTGCTTCTCAGGAGAGGCAGCCGTTAGTTCACATACTGCCCATAGTATACCTTTTGTTCTTAATCTCCCGATTCCACATTCATATCAAGTACTCTCCTAAGCGTAGCCAGACGGTCTTACATAGGCAGTGGTAGGAACGAGAGAGAAAGCCAGACTGCTCGGTGGTGAATTACGTTAGTTTAGCCAACGTGAACAGATTACATAACTACGTTATTGTGTCCGGCACATAAGCTGTTGTTGCTATCTATGTTGGGCGGATATTTGAACTGTGAGACCGTCTCGGAGAATGCGGGGATGAACCCCACAAAGTCCTCCGGATGTTTGGAATTCATCAACCGCTCTGTACGGAGTACAGCTTGACTATTTTGGATATTTACCGGCGGTCTTGGGGTCGCCTTGAAGATCCCTGGGGCTTACTATAATTTGACCGAAAGTTAAAACTTCTTTCATAAACGATTGGGTTGTTCAGGGGCGCGCCAAGGTAGGCTCCACTATTTGCGATGCGGAGGAAGAACAGAGGGTGAAATAACATTCAACAGTGGATTATTCGTAGAAGGTATAAAAAGGGACCGACTAACTCGCACAAGAAATACTCCACTTTCATCTTCATGCAAGATTATCTCAAAAAATCAATTTCTTCCACGAAATACACCAAAATGAAAGGTTTCACCTGCCTTACCGCCGCCTTTCTGGCCGTTCTGCCTGCCCTTGCTCTCCCAGCGGGATCAACCCTGCAGAAAAAAGCAGACTCAGCGAATGTCGGCTATTTGGCTGTCTACTGGACGACTGCAGACAATAGCGTGTATGTTGCCCTTAGCAGCAACGATGACGCTCTAGGATTCAAGGCTATCAATGGAAACAAACCGATTGTGTCGCCTACGCTTGGGACAAAGGCCGTTAGGGACGTGTCTATCATTACCGGACAAGGTAAAAATGCAGGAAAGTATTATATTCTAGGTACTGATTTGAATATTGCTACGGTATGTCCCAGTCCAAGTTTCGTAAGAGGAAAATTCGCGTGCAGTGTTTCTGATATACCCTAGACAACTTGGGAAGCTAGCACTCGCACAGGATCCCGGGCCATATTTGTTTGGGAAAGCAACGATTTGATCACTTGGACAAATGAGCGCCTAGTGACAGTTGAGAATGAAACGGCCGGAATGGCCTGGGCTCCTGATGCGTATTGGGATGCGTCAAAAGGACAATACTTTGTTCACTGGGCTGCGCAATTGGTAAGTTTGAATCTTTCTACTGACATTAATTCTGCTAAGAATATCAGTATTCTCCAGATGACACCGACCACGCCCACAATCCTACCCTAAACACTAGTATGCGGTATGCCTACACTAGCGACTTCAAGACCTTTACCACACCGGAGACATATATGTCACTCGGCGACGACACCGTAATTGACATGTCGCTCCTCCAAGATGGGAACACGCTCACCCGATTCTATGTTACGGGGGGGGCGCCCAGCGGAACAGACCAGTACCAACGGACTCTTTGGTGATTGGACTACAGTCAAAGGTATTATTGAGGGTGGCTCTGGCTATGAGGCGCCATATGCGTTCTGGGATAATATGGAAAATGGTCTGGCATATCTTCTCTGTGATAAGGTGGGCAGTGACGCTGGAATCCATGCGTGGCAGTCGACCGCTGTGGCTTCTGGTACATTTACCGTGAATAACACCCACGACTTGTCATTCATGCGGCATCTGTCGGTCCTGCCAGTGACCCAGGGTCAGTATGATGCATTGTCGGCGTTATAAATGTAAATGTGAAAGAAGTGTAAGTGCGATCGTAGAAGAAACCGCGATACTCCTTCCTTTGTTATTCAATTTTACAAAACATGTGTTCAGAATATGTTAAAAACATGTTGAAAATATGTTCATGAACGTAGGTGTAGTAAATTAAGGCTATGCATGAACTACTTATTTAGCGTGACTGAGTGTGGGGAGCATCAACCAATAAAATTATATTATTTTGCTTACGTGGACTGAGCGAGGCTCAGAATTATCCGAACCAGGCTCAGCTTCCAGGTTCAGCCTGGTTCAAAATCCGGAATACTAATTTTCCGACCGGATGGGGCGGTCACGTTACTTTTTGTACCAGGCTCAACTGTAACCCGGCCTGAGAGTAAATTAAGTATGGTTGCTGGTGCAAGTGTTATTGGGCAAGCAACCCATGATCAGGAGAAGTACTGTAGGGCAGTCATTGAATTGTTGAAGTATCCATATCGAGGGCACGGGTATCCACAATCGGACCTGAGGCCAGAAACGGAGTAGTCGTAATCTAATACAGTTTAGTGGATCAACAGGAACTTGTCTATTGGCTATAGCGATCTTGGCAAACTCTGAAGGGCCCGGAGAGCGTGGTCACACTCCAAAGGCCTTCCGTCTCCAGAAGTTGGGCGGTCTTGGGTCTTGGTGGTTGGTGCTCCCGGTTGGCCGGATTTGCCATACCAAGGAGAATGTAAAACTCATACCCAATATCAGGACAATAGCTTGCTCAACACTGGAACAAATGCCCGCAAACATATCCTGAGAATTTACGCAATGATTGGTTTTTCTTAGAAAGACAAGCGGTCTGGAAATCCAAGTTTGTCGGAGATGTTAGGATATATTTGAAACACGAGTTGTTTTAACTATATTAAGTACGGACTAGTTTGATAGATCTCGAACTTATCTCCACTTCCACTCTGCGCAATTTGATCTAGCACCATTTTGGGAAAGAAGCCAAGGAAATATACACTGGCTTCGATCGGTTAATTATTAACTCTCTCGAGAAAGAGTTAACTAACGATCTTTTATTGATATTGCTAGGCTGATCCTCCTCAAACTTCTGTCTTTTTGGCTTCAGTTTTGTCCTCGTTTCATTCATTTCTCTTCCCCTATTTGTATCATTTGTTTCTGTTAACTATCATTCTCCAATGCTCGCCTTTTTGTCTTTCGCCATTACTCTTCTCCCCCTTGCAGCAAGTTTTATGCACCCTGGCCTCCTCGTCTCGGATAGCGATATCACTCGCGCTCAGGGGAAGATCAAGGCCAGCCAGGATCCCTGGACTACCTCTTGGGATACCCTGACTAGTCTCTCATTCTCTGACGCCAGCTACACTCCTTCCCCTGTTAGTGTTATCTACCGGAGTGCCTGGTATGACAATGCCGAAAACGCGGAGCTCCTTTGGCATGACGTCGCGGCCGCATTCAATCTTGCCCTGCGCTGGAAAATATCCAGAAACACGAGCTTCGCCGATACAGCTAGCAACATCTTGTATTCATGGGCGACCACTCTTACATCGATCGGCGGTGGCGACGACAAGTACCTCACAGCTGGCCTGCAGGGGTACGAACTCGCCAACGCAGCCGAACTCCTTCGTGACTATGAGCCCTTCGCAACCAATGTCCTCCCGGCTGTCGTGAAAATGGCCAATAATATCTTTATCTCGATGCACTACAGATGGTTAAACCATGAAGAGCCGTCGGAGCATATTATTCTTCATTTCTTCGCGAACTGGGAGCTGTGCAATGTCGCTTCAGCGATGGCTATGGGTGTCCTAACCGACAACCAAACAGTGTGGAATTTCGCTGTGAATTACTTCAAGACCGGTGATGGAACAGGCGCGATCAACAATGCTATCACTAATATCGTTCAAGAGCCCGGTAGAGGGGCTTTGCTCGGCCAGGGCCAAGAGTCCGGTCGTGATCAGGGCCACTCTGCATTGGACATCCAACTCCTTGGTGTTATTGGGCAGCAGGCCTGGAATCAAGGAGAAGACCTTTTTGCCTATAATGATAGCCGGATTCTCCGTGGGTAGGTACCGTTGAAAAATTTCCCCCGTCTTGCCATTTACTCATGCAACCCTCCCCAGGACGGAATACTTCGCTCGGTACAACCTTGGAAATGACGTTCCCTTTGTCCCTTACACCAACGGGTTAGTCAGCTTTACCGAGATCAGTAGTGCCTCTCGTGGAGCCATTAGACCTACCTGGGAGCTTCTCTACAACCATTACGTGACGAAGAAAAGAATCGACGCACCTTGGACTACTCTGTTCCTCAACAAGTCACTTGAATATTATGGCGGTGCGGAGGGGGGCTCCGGCTCCTGGGGAGAGGGCGCTGGTCATTACGATGGGTTAGGCTGGGGATCGTTGCTATATCACATGGATGAGGCAGATGTGGCAGCTCTGATCTCCAAATCTGCTTTGCCCGCGGCAAGTCCCACGTCAACCACCTCTACTACATCTACTTTGGCTCCTAGCGCAACCACCAGAACCTTTGGTGTATTCGGTCAAAACGCGCATGTCTTGAGCTCAACTACAAACGACTCGACTTTTATTTCTACTGTTCTGGGCACAGATGCCTCGGCGTCATCAGCCATCGCAAACAACAGTAGGACTCCCACATCTATAAGAAATTCAGCTACTACCGCCATATCGACAACTTCAACAACTGCACCACTTGGCGGTCAACAGGAAGCTCATCCCCATAATCATCATCATCATCATCATCATCCCGTGGACAGTCAGGTTCCTGATGCTTGCCACGTACACCATGGCCACGTCTAGATTGATAAGTGCTCCCTTTGGATCGATTGAGAGGACTTTGAGAGTCGCCGAATGTAGTTTCACTAAAGCACCTAGGAGAAGGTCTAGACGCTCTGGCACACACGCAGTACTCGATGATGTGATACTGAAGGCTTCTAAACCACTAAATGATTGTATGAAGCCCTCTAACCCATTCATGACGAGGTTCGTAGATAATGTTTTTGGTCGAAGATCAGCGGCGACTGAAGCCTCCCAGAATGATGAAAAATCGAGAGAATCGACATTCAAACTGGTATTCAAGGTCAGAGTTTTCAAATCCACCGGCGAAAGCAGGCTCCAGAGCGCACAGGACGGCCGTCCCAAGTCCACAAATCCCCTGAGGTCCAGAGATGTCAGCTTGAATGGTACTTGGCCACACCAAGAGCTAGAGACTTGACTGAAACGTAGCATGTAATCTCCGTCAGCCCACATGGTCAATTCTCTCAGGCGAGTGGCAGTTCGAAGAACCGACCCTATGGACCGCAGGACCGACTCATCATCGATCTGTATGAGTGCCAATGCCCTGACATTGATCGGAGGCCAAAACTTTATCGGTGGGTGGAAGTAAGGTGAGGGTGTGCTGTCAGTACCTAGCCGCAGCTGCAAGCTCTGGAGCGTCGACGTGAAAATCAGGATGGTGACGAGATGTTGAGTCGGGGAAACTGCTAGGTCCCAGCTGTTCAACATATTTAGTGGTATTCACACTGCAATTGTGGATCGTGCGATGGGACAAAAATTATAATTAAGGGTCTTGTACATAAATTGCTTTATATTCGTCATTCGTATAACGCATGAAGCGATGATATTGCTTAACATTCTCGCGGCTGGTGAAAGTAGACTTTGGGAGCCCAAATTCGAGTCGATCTCATGGTAGATATCGTACCAGGACCCTGTGACTAATACCCGCTGAGTATATTGAAGGTTGGTACACCGTGGATCTCCGAAGGTATCCAGTTTCAGCTGAAGTTGGTCATTTTCCCCAAAGCATCCTGGGCTATGAAACTGGATAGTGTCAGATAGATGCGGGATGACTAAATTTTTCCATTCACGGCACGTCCGAGCCAGTACAGCAAGGTCATTAAGGTCCAGCTATTGATATAGTTAGCCCTGCAAAATAACGTCCTGAGATCAAAAGTGGAGAGCGGACATAGTCTCTGAGAAGCTCGAAGAATAGAGGGAGATTGTGCAGCATCTCCGCCATTATGGTGGTATCCTGAGGCAGATGCCGTACGTTATGTAATTAATCGAATAATGCCTAGAACTCCCGACCGGCAACAACATCCTTTATATAAGGTTCTTTAATCCCAAGAATAGTTGCATTACCGCATCAAAATCTCGTTTCGTGAGATCATGATCAATTGACGATGAAGTTGGGAAAGCTAGAAATTCAATCTAGACAGACCATAAGCTCAAATTTCGTAAAGGCAGGATGGCCTCCGAGGCATCCCAAAACGCTGAGACCATCAAATGCAAACAATACGTAGCCTAGGTCAGAAAGTGTTTTAACATGATTTGCATTCTCCCGCAAAAGTAAGAGACATATACAGAGGTTTTAACTGGTTGGGATATGCGTACAAATGATGGCCATTTGTATGCTGACCAGATCAGGGGGAGCCCATGTGGATCCATCTAGGATTGGTTGGGGCCAGATCCGAACCTATCAGTCGAGGTTGACGGTACCAGTTAGGTGCGGACCCCGGGTTTAGGCTCCATCACACAAGGGATGAAAAAGAGACCGGTAGGAATGCGCATTAGGTATCCACATCTTGGTGGCACATTGATACCGATGAGAATTGAAATAAATGACGTAGTCGGGCTTGGCAGGGTCATTGTAGCTTATTCAAAGAATCAGCGCATTGAAACAACCGAGAACATTGTCAAATCACGGGCTTCGTGAAAGATTTTGCTTCGTATTAGAAGAAATCATTCGATGCTAGATTGTGCCCCAGGAAGATGACACGGACTTTACATGCCAGCTACAACTATATAATAGCTTGTTAGTTCGGGCTTTTACCAATCAATTATAATCTATCCTTCCTCGTAAATAGCCGAGGGCTTCGCATTCTCCCGGCCCAATCGGCCATGGCTTAACTTCGCTGCTGCTGGCATAGTGCCACTTTCCGAGTTCGGCGTACTTCCAGCCTATTGTGCAGACAGAGTAGCCATACCCTTCAAAAGTCGCCCAGACAGATATTTTCTTTCAGATAGGGACAAGCTATGAGGTAAATCATAAAAAGGCTAGCCAGAAGGATCTTCTGTCAGTACTCAAACCCGTAACATTGCGACTATAATACTAGCAAAGTTGTTTCTTGGTAATCATTGGTATTTCGTTGACTAATTGAGCACTCTTGATTAGTATTGTCCTCTTCGTATGACCGCAGTTTGCTTTCATTGGACAAATCCGAACATAGCAGTTGGGATAGATTCAAGGGGCTCTGAACAGGCCATAACATTTGACTCCGGTTCAAACTGCAAGGGGAGTTTAGGTTCATCCTGTTGGAGGACAAAGGCTTGTGCCAGGCTCTGTAGCATATTGTTATGAGTAACTAGGATACGAAGGTCGCAGTCCCGTTTAGAAGGTATTATCTCGAGCTTTCTTTCACATTTGCAGTACAATTCGGACAGATAATGTTCCATGTGTGTCGTAAAATGTTGGGCTGTGGTTCATCCAGCAAGCCCCGGAGAAGAGATAAAATCAAGTAGTATTTATTGTCGCAAAATATATTCCTAACCCGTGTATATAAACAAAAATGCGAGATAGGCAGCCACCTCTGACGTTAATAAGATCTACACCTGCTGTGCGACCGGGAGTTTAAAAGGCAAATGACCTCCTGGGGGGTTTTATGTGAAGGTGAACGCGGTTACTATAGATTTTGAATGGCAAATTGAAGTTCTAGAGAAGCATTAACTGTGTTTCAAAGTATTTCAAGCGATGTGTCCTCAAAAATCCGAGTATTGGTGGAACTAAAGGCCGAGAGCCTATGAAGTTGTTTGTCCCAAGATATAAAATGCACGGCTTTTTTATCCGACCAATCACATGAACTATGAGATCCCATTGGTCTAAACTATTGACGCATTATTCTATTGGCCTGAACAGCATTTTTCGTTAAGACATATTGACGGGTATCACATCCCACCACAGAGGATAGCCAGCCTTCTCATATGATCCTCGTTTTGACGTCACCCGGAATCCGCAAAAAGGATGATCTATTGTTTAGTTGATGGAGGTAGAATATGGCCGAGAGCAGAATGAGCGCTTTGGTAAAATAAAACCTTAGCATAATCCTAAATTATAACCATTTATAAGCACTTATTTCGAAGCACACAATAAATACCACCCTGTTTACGTCTTACGTCATCATCTGTCATTTTCGAACTTCCCTCGCAAAGTTAAGGGTGCTGTGGCCGACAATGATAAGGATGCCTCCCGCGGCTCCAAAGGGTTAACCACGATTGTTACGGACTATCTAAGCCTTCTAAGATAAATTTACGACCGAATCAGTATAAAGTAGAATTCGAAAACAGATTACCCCCTACACACTCGCGCTTTCTTTCCTCGCCCCCCACTCACTTAGCGCTAAACCTAATACGGTCAAGGAATGTCCCACCATTTTTTCTCGATGTTATTTCCGGTAGATCATCAAAATTACCGTAAATACAGTTTCCGGCACTGGGCCAATATGTCCCCATGGCTATACGTAGCCTAGCTTGAGTTTTAGCTTTACCTCGATCGCACCAGTCTTGTGGAAACCCCACCCCCAACCCAAACCCCCAAGATTACTTTCTTTCTTTTTTGTGGTTTTCTTTTTTGTGGTTTTCTTTTTTGTGGTGTCTTTCCAAGACTCATGAGATTTCTGCACTGTGAATACTATATTCTAGTATTCCATAGCACAGAGCTACAAAGGCAAGCCTACCTATTCATTTGGCGTTTACCTTATCAACTAATAACCTCGCAAAAGATCATGGAAAAAAATGAACTCAACATCAAGCTGAAGGGAGTACTTGATATGACAGCCTTCTCCCAGCTGTTGGAGATGGACGAGGAAGAAGATCGAAAGAGTAGCTCGACAGCGCTATATGATTTCATTGAAAGAGGCAAGGAGAAGGTGGACTATATGGAGACCGCCCTGTAAGCGATGATGCCCCACGCAAACCTGCCTTGGTCAGAGTGCACAACTTGAGGCAATTTAAAGAGGTGAACTTGCAATCTGACGAGATATGCTTATGGGCAGTTCGAAAAGAGACTTCGTTTCTTTGATTTTCAATAGTGAATCCCTACAACAATGTGCAGTGGCGTTGGGCTTCCGCAAATTTCACGAAAGCTGTGAGAACATTCGACGAGTCGGTGCGACGATGAGTATACATGGCGAGGTCACAGGAGCAATTGAGATGTTCAGTCTTACCCTCATTAAGGAAGAAATCGGCAATCTGAATGACAGTCTTCTATCTGCTCGCACAGCAATCAATTCCTTCTATAAGGATAGTAGCTAAAATGCAAGACCGAATATGGGTCCGATGTGAGCTTGTTCCGGTTATCGTTCACTTTTATAGGCGTTTCTCTTGAACAGAAGACTAACCCTGACCCGAAATATGCCACCATTGTCAAATGTATTTAAAATCCATATTTATCGAGTAAGATATTGTACAGTATGGATGGATGACACTGTAGACACCTTGGAGCTAATTCCGGTGGTACAGCTTGGTTCCTGATCTGCACCGGCCTTATATCACAGCACTTTAGCTAAGAACTAATGTGGCCGAAGACAAACCTGAGGCCATAACGTCATCATGATCCCTGGATATATCAGAAGAACCAATCAACGACGAGGGTGACCCAGTTTGCTATAACACCATGCACGGTTGATTAGGGAAATTTTAGCGGAGATGCAATACTGTATCACTAGCTGCCTTGATTTGAAAAATCTGCTTTATCTTTATATCTAATAGATATACAGGCTGGCCCATTCAACATGTCGAAATTCGCACACAAGGCTGAAGAGGGTTTCACCGGCCACCCTGAATCAATCCGCTCATCTAATTATAGGCCTCACGATTTGAATCTAGCCAACAAGGTCGACCCTTGTGTGGATAGCGACCGTGGTAGGTGATCGCTTTGATCAATCTAAATTTTTGAATTCTGTCTCAAAACGCTCACCTTGCTTTCAAAGACAATGCCTCTGAACATGGTGCTATCGGGAGACCTTGCGGCCTGCACGACACTAGCATCGCCAACCAGCTTGGCCCGCGAGTCCACTGCGATAACGGCAGAAAAAGTTTGTCTTCTAAAAGCCAACCTTTGTTAACAATAACTGACCTTACCTAGACGCCCCTGATTATTACCATCTTGATTTGGCTAAGTACTACGGTCATGGCGGAACCGCTTGCCCACCTAACTCCATCATCGCCAACAAGCTCGACCCTCCACTTGACTTAGATAGAGTTAACGAAGCTCTCGCCGGCAGTAGCCTTGAAATTTCTGGGGCGAGAATTTTCGGTCGTCACAACACGGATGTGGCCAATAAACTCAACCTGCATGTCGACTCCGACGTGGATGAAAGTGGTCTTTGAATAAGCACTGAAAGCATGCCAGTAAGTTTTTATTTAAATTGAATACATGGCCAAAGCATTATTGTCTCAAGTTTTCCTCTACTGCTTCCTTTTACAATTTTTAAATGGGGAAGAGTTAATATTAGAGACTATGGGATATAGGCACATGCCCTGGATCAGTCATGTATGCTCCGATTAATAAAAAACGAAGTACCCCCTAACATTGCAGCATGTAGAGCTTGAGGCAGCTCAGCCTGAGCTGTTAACGATACGATATCGGCACTGTTTTCCCATATCGTCAATCGGCATCGTCAACTTCGAAGTCTGCCGATATCGTATCGGCAATCGACATCGACATTTCTGTAAACTGTCGATACGATATCGGCAAATGAAATTATCGTCGGCGATATATCGTCACCGGTAATTGGACAATAAGAGAATAGCTCCTGGCCCTAGGTATAGTAAACTCTATTAGTTAGAAAGAGAATACAAGCTTAGATACTCGTTAATTAGCGCAATCCGCTTCCGTTGTGTAGTCCTACGTTGTGTTGTTTCCGTACTATGTGGCTGTATATGTATCTATATATTCTACGTTGCTCTCCCGTCCTATCAATTCTGCTACTGCAATTTACATGTCTAATCCTTTCTAAGTTGCTTCCATTCCTCTGCGCATATATATATATATAACTTCATTATCCTTTTCCTGCCAAAATATGTATAATGTACTATCAAATTACCTGACTTATCTATGGCCACACCTCCTTCTTCCGTTGTGCTATATGGCAGAATATCCAGAGGTCATAAGGGTCCAACCCCATTTTATGGTTCAACTCTGTTTAGACGCGACGCGTCTCAGAGGCTGGGACGCGTGCCCCGAGCTCTTCTTTGTTAACAGTGACCTGTTCTTCCAGAAACCAACCAACTCCACATGACTCTTCAGCCCTGGTTATACTGAACCACTGGGTCCATGTCGACAGTGAGCTGTGATAAGCAAATCGTATTCAGTCGCACTGCACCAGTGGCCCGGTGAATCCAACACAAAATGCGTACCCGGCAGAAACGCCTCAACTACCGAGTTCTGAATGACGAGAGCGATGGAGAGTCTTTGCCCGAGGATCGAACTGACCAATCAAGCGAACCAAGTGAGCCGCCGAGTAGTCTTACACGTACTCTCCCAGCCTGTCAAGAAGACGTGGAAGTCCTCGCCAACATACCAGATTGCGAGCTCCTACCTTCCTAGTCTGTGTCACAAGTGCTAGTATCCCAAGAGAGCTCAACAGATGCTGGTACTTCAATCACAAGCCACGTATCCTCTCGGTACGCCAACGATCAGCGCCTTCTACTGAGTGGATCTGAGGGTACTTCGAGATCACAGCCGGTGATTGTCCATCGGTTATCAAGAGGACTAACAAGAGGAGGCTGGTCGACCGAGAGATTTGCTGTACGCATGTAGATGGGAAAACGGGAAAACGCTGTGACTGGCATACGTCAGATTCCCAGAGGCAAAATACAACCAGCAACATGAAAACCCACTTGGCAAAGCATGACATTTACTGCCCGACCTCCAGTATACAGCCAGCGAAGAAGGGACCAGACATTCGGAATTTCATGGGTGGTAAACAGAGTCTCACCCATCAAGAGGTCTTGGAAAGGAACGCCATTCGCTGGATCGTGACTGATATGAAAGCCTTCTCCACTGTCGAGTCTCCAGAGTTTCAGCAGATGTTTCGAGACATTCCTGGGATTGAGCCTCCTTTCATATCTCGCCACACCTTGCGGGATGGAATCATGCAAGAGTTCGCCATACAGCGCACGAACCTGAAGAATGAGCTGAATTTGACTTGCAAAACCATTGCGTTATCACTGGACATCTGGACAAGCCAGAATCATCTTCCTATTTTAGGGATAATTGGTCATTGGCTGACAGACGAATTTGAGTACCGTGAGAGATTACTCGAGTTCACCGAACTCCAGGCATTCATAGCGGCGAAAATCTGGTAATTGCAGTGAAAAACATGCTTATCGAGTTAAATCTCGAGGATAAGCTCATTTCCATTACAGGTGACAACGCCAGTAACAATGAGGCCATGGCCTCGGAATTATTCTTCTCTCTTTCCGATCGGCCTAGGGTGGAAGACGCAATGCCAGCACCACTCTATCGAGGGCTTGACAGCTACATCCGCTGCCTGGCTCATGTCCTCAATCTGATTGTGAAAGATATCCTGCGTGCCCTGGGGTCAGGGACTCTGGAACAAGCGCAAGCTGCCTGTGACTGCTTACAAACTGGTAACTCGATCACCGATCAGTCAGCTGTAGGAAGGTTACGGGTCCTCGCTCTTTGGATTAACCGAAGTCCTCAACGCCGACAGAAATGGAAGGAGATTTGCAGAATCAACAATCTCCCAGACAAATTTGTTGAGTACGATGTTGCGACACGATGGAACTCAACATTTCGCATGGTCGACGATGGCTTGAAGTCAAGGCAACAAGTCAACAAGTTCCTAATCCTTCAGGAGGAACTCCCACCTTTCACTCTCAAAGATTGGTCACGACTGGAACAGATTCACATAGTACTCCACAAGTTCAATGAGCTTACTTTGTTCATTTCCAAACGCAATCCACAAATCAGCCTCGCAGTCCCCATTTACTATGAGCTACACGAATTGCTTGACGTGAGGGAGGGCAATGGTGACTTCGCAAAACTGGATCGGGATATTATAGCTGCAGTGAATGAGGGGATGAAGAAATACGAAAAGTACTATTCCATTATGGACGACTGCGATACCTACTACACTGCCCTCGTCTTGGATCCCCGAGTCAAAGGCGAAATGGTCTTACAGGAACTGCAAAATGGCAATGCAGGGACAATGATTCTGGAAACGATCCGCACCAATCTCCATCAGGTATACGCGACTAGCAACCCGGAGCATTATGCCGCTGCATCACAATCGTCTTCCCCGAAGCATAGTGATGTGAAGTCTAGGATGCTGAAGAAGTTGCAGTCGCGAGATCCACCGCTCTCAGATATTGATAAGTACTTCGACACCCCTCCGATGAGCGTCGCAGACACCACCGGCCAGAACTGGCTCTGTAATTGGTGGAAGATGCACAAGGGCGAGTATCCGCGGATGGCAGCAGCAGGCAGGGACTATCTAGCGATTCCTGCTTCTGAAGTTGCTGTTGAGAGAGTGTTTAGCACAGCGAGGGATGTGCTAGGCATCCGGAGATATTCTTTGAAAGGTGATACCATAAGAATGCTGATGTTGATTCGCGACGAGTATAAGTGGTAGCAGTCAAGGGTCGGAGTTGGTAAAAAATTATGCCGTCGCGATGCCCCGGTTTTGCATTCATAAATTGTCAAATAAAACGGCTGTTCGATCAAAGCACGCTCGCTCTCTAGATGATTTAAAGGAAAAATGTACCGATGCCGATACGATATAACGATATAGTGAGTGGTGATATCGTCAAATTTGAAGCCCGCCGATATCGTATCGTCAATATCGTTATATCGGCAATATCGTCAACAGCCCTAGATCAAGCTGCCCCGTGGTGGGGCGATCCTCCCAGCAACCACGAGCACGAGGTGCTACCAAGTTATCAATACGGCGGACACGGGCCTCAGCCCGGGGACAGCAACGTGCTCATTCTCAAATGCCTCGCACAGTTAGTCCTAGTGACCCCCTTATCGTGAATGCAAGGTCTCTGCTAACAAATGATACTTCAAGGCTAGACGTGTGGGTAAAGCTAGTTGTAATCTTCCCCCAAGATGAAGAACAAAGAGCTAACTACAGCTTCGGTCTCTAGATAATAAGTTCACGGATCAAAGCAAGTGCATCGAAGATGTCCGCAGGGATCTAGCAGACCTCCTCCGCCGACTAGACGTTATCGAATCGGAAGCAGAGGAGAAAACCGAAAGTGAAATGGCTCATACTGTTGTAGTTCAGAGGTATATATTGTTACTGTTTTAGAGGGAAACATTAGGCTATATATATACAACAAGAAGAACAAGTTGATTTCCAATCAACTTGGTTCTTCGTATAGATACCTCGGGATTAATTCCGATGGTTCGGCTTGGTTCCTGAACTGCACCAGCCTCATATCACAACATTCCCCCTCAGGATCGCTTTGCTGGCAGAGCGATACTGGAATTGCGCAGAGCAGTCAGGCCTCGGTAAAACCACTCAAAAAGCTTCGTGGGAAAATGAAGTGGAAAGAGCGCCTATGCTGTCGTGAATTGAACTTTCCACCACTGAATTTAAATGTCTATGTTTTTATTGGCGGGTCACATCTTCGGCCTCAAAAGAGAATCACCAACTGGCTACCGTCATGGATGATAAATATTTTCTTCTAATGCCAACTGTCATCTAACTCCGACTTCTTCCTCAACAACTGGTCAACGAAAGCGCGTGAACCGTTGGTCCCAGAGAGCTGGCCCATAAACCCCGACCAAATCGGTTCCAAAATCGCAGACTGCATCGCTTCCTACTGTATCATCAACGAGCTCCAGGGTTCTCTATAATATAATGTATTATTGGGAAGCCTATGTCACTCCCCATTATGGTACTGTAATGTACGATTCGAAGTCAAACTGACACGTCAGAAAGAGCATCCCAAGGGACAGAAGTCGGAGAAATACAATTTCTTATGGGGCTAATTGGTGCATGTCGGTCATTCGTGGCATCGATTGGCTCATTATTCCTTGGCAGATATCGTTGTATTAGTAGTATCCAATGATAGCTTTATTATTGACGACCCACAGGCTCCTGGGAGGCACGGCCAATATCAACCAATCATTTCACTGAAGATTTGTGCGTATGTGGGCTCTTCATGGCACTAATTCGCTCATATTTCGTTGCAGTACCCACCTCCCGTGTCCACTTCGTTCCCAGGAGATTGATGAGGGCATTGCCGTACGCAAAGCCGAGGCTGATGGCAGATAATTCTTCTACGGAAACGTGATTGACCTAGTAACTCGCTCAATCTACAAGAAACTCTTTCGTGAGATGTGGGCTGTGCGAATCAGTCCCAAGCTGCACCATAGCTTTTTTCTGCTTGATATTGTGTAGATGTGATGGGTTTTCTCTGATATAAGAGGTAGATACCAATAATGAAGAAACATGGAACATTCTGCGTTTGGGCCAGTAGGCAGCCAGGAGTGAACCATCGCTTCATGGTTGTTTATTAGTGATGGGGCATTCTTCGAGTAAAAGAAAGCGTTCATCATCGGTTAGTGAAGGTTGCCGCCACCCATCTCAATAAAGTACGGACACATGGTGGTGAATGTTGAAACGCATCATCGATGCCTTTCTGCGACAGCCCCACGACTGTTTGAACGGTGATAACAGTGAGACAATTTTTTTCTTGGACTGTAACATCAAAAAAAAGAAAAAGAAAGCCTTCGAATACAGTGCCAGATCAACAGTAAAATGTTGAACCAGCTATAACTGGTCGTCTGTGTTTGTGCATGCACAATTCACAATGATCATCGCATCGACGGAAGTAGCATGCCCAGCTGCAATGTTATAAATACACGAGCCATCACCAGCAGAACATTCGGTCTCAAGCATTCCTTTGTCACTCTAGGTCGAAGAATATCGAGCGCTTTCCATCTTCGCCAGCACACTTCGGTATGGACTAACCCCCAACTATCACGCAATTGTTATTAATCTGGCCTATTGCATCATACTAGTCTGTCATTGTTCGGTGCTGAAGCTTCCAAACAGCAAGTGAGTATACCTACCCAGCAATTTGCAATCATGCTAACATGTAATATGCTCAAGATCAGCCTCATCTCCGCTACTGCTCTAGGAAACCACTTGAATGACTTTGTATGAACTTATAATGGATCAAATCTGCGAGCACGGTGAGTTATGAAGTGCCTTCATAAGCTGCCTACTGATGATTAATGATAGATCGAAGTCGCCTCCTACGCAGCCGCTTCGACCTTCCCAGAATGCAGCGAACAGGAGTGGCTAACAACGTAAGTTTTTATCAGCGGCAACATGGATAGTATTCACCCTGTGCTAACGACTCCCTGTATAAGAAGGCAAACTTTCGATCACGGGTCGCTCAATCCCATTAAGTTACCCTGGTGCGTTGCCTATGCCTATGCCCATGACGGCTGCATTTGGATTTCATACGGATGCTATCCAATTGAGTTTCATCGTGTCGCGCTCTCTGTCCAGATTACAAGATGGCAATCGCCACGACCGAGCCGTATTTCCCAATTGTCCTCAAAAATAAGGATGCACGTCAGGCCGGACCGATGACTCCCCATGCGTTTCTACTTCGCTGTTCCAAAACACCTGCTTGAAACGTCCACCTTGCTCAGACTGACAGAATAAATCTAGGCAGGTTTACTGCCCTTTGATTAGCCATATGGTAGTGTTCCAACATGTTTTTTCTCTCCCGGCTTCATCCTTTCGACCAAGCGTTAACTATCACTATACTACCTTCCGTATCCCGAAGGTCCTGAACCTCTTGTCCCATATCCAATTCGAAGCCTCGACGGCGGCATCATCCGCCCCCATGCTAAGCCGAGTGAGCTATCACAGCATCCAGCGACAGCGAAGATAAGCCGAGCATCGACAATCACCGAGAGAGACCATTGTCTCTCCGAGGATAGTATCAACCAATAAAAAATGGAGCTTTTGGCCACAGTCTGAGAGATAACTCTGTCAGGCTCGGTTGCGGCTGAGCAAGCGACAATCCGGCTGCAGCACTGGATCTACCACAGATATCTCGCCGTGAGAGCAGTCTCTTTCAGGTCAGCTACTAGCATACCCCAGACCAACTATCATGAACCTCTCCTTCAGTGAGACTTTGTCCTGACACGTTTGGAGATTTACCTGTTACACGAACAGCAAAGACGACACAGCTATGCATTGGCAGATAATGCCAACATCCATTTCCAGCGATACGGAGTGGTCCCGGGCGCACGTGCATGTGTAATCGAGCTGAGCCCGCTACATCTGTGGTAGGCCTTCGCTGATATCAGACTACATTTACGGCAAGTCTGCACCACCCTCAATCACCAGAAGTCATGCTGATATGGAGAGGCAGTGAGACACGACACTGCTTCGGTCGTTCTCACAAGTCCGATCGGGATAGTGTATTGTGGCTAGTATTGGGATTCTCATATAGGCCGCGAGCACGTTCAGTGGCGAACACCCATCTTGCGCCAGTTGCTGACAGTTGGTACTAGATCGAGTAACTCCAACGGCAAACTGTTTTGCCTGTGGCCAATGCAGACGGCGATTCATAGCTGTCACCATGGCCTACTTGATAAATGAATCTGGCAAGTGCGTTCTAATCATTAAGATAGTTTGGAGGCCAACTTGCCATGATGTCAAGCCGCTATAATGAAGTTGGCCTTGTTCCCCCCATGCTATTGCTCAATGCAGCCGCACGCCGACCGAATGGCTCCCGGTTTCACCACCGAGGGGCACGGACTGGCCGGCAGAAGCAGACTCGCGAAGAACACGGCCAACCAATTGCATCGGTTGTCACAAATTTTCGTTAATGATACAAGAGTAGAAAGGCTAGTTTTCAATCCCAGCTGGAGAAGGCCTGCTTGCTGACTTCGAACGTCGCCGCTGATGTTACTCAGTGTGGGCGCGATATGCTCTACTCGACGCGCTGCGACGCGTTAGTGCACCGCCTTGCGACCTGTGTCGCGCGTCCATATACTGCCGGATGCTGAGTTGAGTCGACATGCCCAACTGACGATAGAATAATAGTTTTATTGCAATCATGAGGCGTCCAAAAACAAAATCAAGCATGGGGAAACAGGAAATGATTCGGAAAAATCACGCAAGTTGTGATTCCGAGGACGAATTACATGAGCGTGATTCTTTCTATTCTACGAAAGTTCAGCTGAATGTACCCTCAGGGAATCGAACCCGAGCCGTTATCGGAAGCAAACGTGGCAAGGTTCCACTAGACCAAATAGGCAGACGAGCTGGAAGTGCGAAAATTGCTTATTTATACACGCCATTCTTCCACGGAAGATCAGGCTGACCATTGTGCCGTGTAAGGATCCAGCACGTCGACGATTTTGCATACCTCCAGATGAATTTTCATTTGATTTTGCCAACAGATACTTACCATTGAGAGATGATACATTGAGATGAGAAGAAAATTCGACTTTTCGTTGTTGATATTCTGATGGTTCGTTCCATGTTTTACCACTCATGCTGGATGCAGTAGAGCCGGTCTGGCGATATACATCTCTGTTAAATCGATTCAATAAACGACGAGCTTACCTCAGATATGTATAGAATATCGCTTAGAAACATGCGACGAAGCTCAAACCGAGAGAATATCGCACTGAAAAGCCACTGGAGTCCAGAAAGAGATACAATTTACCGTATACTAAGAATATTGGTTGAATTGGCAAACTATGTTGATTGCATCACTCAACTCCTAGCTCATAGTCGGGTTTTTTCAGAAAAGACTACATGTACAGGGTATCAGATACACTCACCCTCGGATTAATGCTCTTCGGCATCATTTCGCAACGTGCATCAGCTTTTGAATTATTGTTGAGAAAACGGAGATCTGTGTGATGACGGCGGTCGGTGGTGACCGGTGGCATCCACTTCACCGCTCGGCAATCGCGCCGCACTGCACATCAACAGAGGGACCCACTGGTCTGGCCCCGTTATCACCAGCTCTCACCCTCAACCCTCACTCACCACTAGCCCTCACCATCAACACACCATCACTCACCGTCAACACACCATCACACACACAATTCATTTACGCCCGGCGGCTGAACCGAAAGGGCAACTATCACTGATTTAAATATACATGCTTTTTAGCTAATGCTGTGCCTCCTTGGAGCCCATTCAAGAATTTTTTCAGCGTATGTCATCTCAGATGTCAATATCTTAGCGGGTCCTTGTGGGTTAGTGTTTAGTTAGTAAACTTGCTTGAAAGCGATTCTCCAAGTGTTCAACATCCTATCCTCGGCAATTGAAGCGCGTCTACCGTCTCTGGCACAAGGTAGTTGGTGGGGGTTAGATGTTGGGGCGGGGTAGGGTTAATCTGTGTTGGTCGACAGGGTTAAGTGGCGTCGAGTCGGCCCGTGGCGATTGCAAACCGTATTGTGGCTCGCACTGCTTCCAAATTCGGCTTCCAGTTCTGGTCATCCAAAGGCGATTTTCCGCCTAGGAAAGATGATATGTTGGCTCGGTGAGTGAGTGTACATTGCAGCATTTTCGTCCGGTGTGTGGTCCACCGCTGACATCGAAAGAGGAAGTGCTCCACGGTCTCTCTGGCTTGTCCACATGCGCATTGATCCGTCTCTGCAACGTTGATTCGATAGAGGTATCCATTGAGTCTCGCCATGCCAGTCCGGAGCTGGGCTAGCACACTTGCTTCTTTCCACGATAATCGATCATACAATTGCCGGGTATGTTTTCCTGGGAGTGCTGCATCCACTCGTTTGGAGTGTTTCCCGACATTCTCTGGCAGGCAATTTTTGGGGACTGCTTGGGATCGTGAGATGTTCAGTGTTGTCGACTTCATCCGGGGGACCTGTGCTTGCGGGGTAGAATCCTCTTGGGTCGCGGTCCGAGCCTGCTCTTTTGCTAGGCCTAGCAGTTGATCATCTTCGCTGGTCGGGACCCAACAGATGTTGATGCGGTTCTCGTGCTTCCGTAGTCTCTTGATCAGCTTGTATGCTAGGCAGATGTGTTCCTGGCCCGACTGTTGTCGAGGATTCTTCAGCGTGAGAGCCGCCGCTTTGTTGCTCGTGAGTAGCGTGACCCTGCACCGTTTCAGTCCCCGTAGCGTACCCAGTGCGTATGCCATTGCTGCCAATTCGCCGGAGTATGGGTTCTGCTCGGTTCTTGCACCCAGTGTGACGGAGAAAGTTTTCAGCCTCGTTTTTCGATATCGAGGCGGCTGCTTCTCAATTGCTACGCCAAATCCTACCATCTCATTCCGCGCCGAACTGCTAACCGCGATCCGCATGACTCCGCCTGCTTCGGTCTGTGTCTCCGGTAAATCATGACCGTCGCTCTGTATCCGTTCCTCCCATGGTGCCAATGTGAATGGATTGATGGTTTCCAGTGATTCCATCTCGATGCTTTTCAGCGCGTCTGCGACCTGATACAATGGCGAACGGTGGTATCTTCTGAATCTCTTGATCTGGGCTGTACTCCTGCGGAGGGGATTGGTTACTGGTAGGGTGTGGATGTCTGTCCACATTTTCACAGCTCGTCGCCAGAGCCGGTGCTGCACCGTGGCGATGTGAGCCTCCGCTTCCGCTACGCTGGTCGCGACTGTGAGGAATGACCCGACAATCGCTTGCGCTCCTACTCTCTGCACTCGGTTGATCGGCCCGACGTTCTTATTCTTGAATGCGTGCATCCAGACATTGGAGCCATAGTCCACCACCGGGGCTACGGTCGATGTGAATAGCTGCCACGCTGTTGCGGGGGATAGACCCCGAAGCCGCCGAAGCTCCATCGCCGCCTCGAGTCCCTTGGACGCTGCCCTCGCGATATGTTCCTTGTATTTGAGTCTCGTGTCCATGATGACGCCAAGAACCTTGACATGGTCTCTGGGTTCAACGGTCTCTCCCTTGATAGTAAATGGCTCCGAGTCCAACTTGCTGGCCTTGGGGGCGAAGTGTATGATGGCAGTTTTCTCCGCTTCAAACGTCGCTCCACTTCTTCGTTCCCAGTCGAGTGCTTCATTGACGATTGCTTCGATGCCATTCCGGTTGCTCTGCGCAGTCGGACCGGTCACCCACGCGGTAAAGTCATCCACAAAGGCAATTGCTCCTCCCTGGCCGTCGATCTGTCTTTATACGAGATCTGCGTTGAAGAAGAGGAAGAGGATCGGGGACAGGGGTGATCCCTGAGGGAGCCCCGCCTGTGGAAGGCTTTGGGCCTCAGATGCTTGCCCGTTGATTTGGATGGTCGCCGTTCGCTCCGAGCAGAACGCTTCGACCCACCGTAGCAGAACCTCCGGTATACCTCGCGCTTTCATCCTCTGGAGCAATCGTTCTTTGCAAACCCCATTGTAAGCTCCTTTGACATCGAAGCTGATCAAGCTCAGGACCCGTCGGCCACGCCATGCCGCGTAGATCTGCTCTTGCAAAAGCAAGAGTGCTTGCTCCGCGGATCGCTGTTTGCGGGCCCCGAAGTGGCTGGTCGGGAGAAGGCCGTACGTCTCCACCGCATGTGAGATCCTTTCTGCGATGACTGATTCCAGCACCTTGCCCAGTGTTGCGAGGAGTGAAATCGGCCTCCAGGCCTTCGCAATGGTATAGTTCTCTTTGTTTGGTTTTTTGAGCGGTATGATCTTCGCATGTCTCCACTGCTTGGGCAATGTGCCTTCATCCAGCGACGCTTGGAACAGCTCCAGGACTCTGTGTTTGACCACGGGCCACGCCATCTTCCACACTATCGCTGGTAGGCCATCTTCACCAGGTGCTTTCCAAGACTTTGTCGCCAACATCTGCCGTCGACCTCTTCCATAGTGATGTCAGACATCTCCACGTGCGCTCTCTGCGGCCTGGTCCCTTCATCGTCAATTCTGTCCGGCAACGCCATTTAACTATCATTTCCCTCTTTCCCGGACTTTCAGCATTCCCTGTGGCATTATCAGCAATACTACCGATACGACTAAGCTGTGTCTTTGAAGCAATGGCTGATACATGCAAAACCAGCGCGCAAGATTTCGTGCAACAATATGTACCCTAGGACCTTGGAAAATGTTTGCGGTGTTAATTGAACCTGGACAACCATACATCGTCAATATTTGTTCTCGTCTTCACAACTACGGACAATCAAATCAGACAAATGGAAGGAAATGCGGGGGTAATACAGCATATCTTTTTTGCCTCAGTGAGTTATGACGGTCCTGTTCGGGATAGTTAAATAATCAGTTAACTAAGTTATGGGATGATGCAGGTCTTGGTCAGCATGTCCATCGGCCTAGGACAGCTTCTCGGTCCGAATGATACTCCGATGCCGACATACCCCTCCGCAAATTTTCAACTGCTTCTACAATTTGCTGAATGCCCTGGGGTTATATTAAAGCCTGCGGAACTTTCCAACTGAATAATAATCGATTCATCCCCTTCCTTTAATACACATGGTAGGTCAAAAAAAAAAGGGAACGCAGGGGTGCTGGGGGAGAGTCTGGAAAGGGAATTTCCGTACTGAATTCTTACCCGGTTTTATTGGTTCTCCTAGGTTGTGCAAATCGATACAAGATAGATTGAAGATATGGAGTGAAGGTAGTTTACATGAAAATTCGACATCGATCTTGTCCTGCTATATTAAGCATAGTGTTAGTTTCTAAGTCTCCCTCGGCCACGGATACGAGTATACCCCGAGTTCCGCCTACCTCACCTACAAATAATCCATCTATACATTTGGTATGATAGTTTCCTCCGTCTGCCAAGGGCTCGCGTGGAGACGTGGAGACGCGGAGTCGGCTTATCAAATGAACTTGAAGCGCCCCCGACTCCGAGTCCGCGGCAATTGCCCCCACTGTTTCCCCTCATTTCAATTGGTCAGGGCAGCGCCAAGGTCCCTTATCTTTGGGGAAGGGGAAAAAAGATTGGAGAACTGACAGACTGGTTCAGAATGACCACGGAGTAATGCGTGTCCGCGCTCCGGGTCCATGGTCCACGTCGGGTGGCCCAAATACTTACCGCAAACAGGTTGGCTGCGTTCGGATCGGAGCGTCCCTTCTGATCCGACCACTGGATCGAATCAGACCGAGGCTAGACCGATTATATCATACCTTTGCGAGCCGAGGTAAACGCTTAGCTATGCAAACATGCCTGGGTCAAACCTGGGGAAAGGCTACCTCACCTGTAACCTGTGGGGAAACAAAGTATAAATGCACTCTGATACTTCACCTTCCTATCAAGAAAAGCCTAGAACGACAACTTTTTTATACGATTTCCATTCATCATCCACCCACTCTACATACACCATGGTCTCCCAGGACTGGCAGGCTCTCATCGACGAAAAGAGAGCCCAGCGCGAAGCATTGATTCCGTCCAAATGGAGGATCCCCGGGTACGTGGCCGACAAAGTCTCTCCCACCGCGTCCGTCAGTGCTTTTGAGCTCCTGGAGGAGACGGACATTCTGTCCAAGGAGGAGCGTGAGATCACCGAACTCCACGATGCAACGGCCCTCCTCGAGCTGCTCGCAGCAGGGAAGGTTTCGTCACTCGCCGTGACGACGGCGTTTTGTAAGCGGGCGGCTATTGCGCAGCAGCTGGTATTTGACTTTCTGTTTCCTTGTGCTACCAAGCGACATGGGTGAAGGAAAGCTCACACAGATTCTGGCGAGCATAGACCAACTGCCTGACAGAGATATTCTTCGACGAGGCCCTCGAGCGAGCGCGGTATTTGGATGATTATCTGAAACGCAACGGCAAGCCAATGGGGCCGTTTTATGGACTCCCTCTCAGTATCAAGGTGTGCCTTCCCAGTTACACGGATCATCATACATACTCACCATCAACTCCCATTAGGACATGTTCATGATTAAAGGCCACTTGGCAACTATGGCATATGTCTCATACCTCAAGAAGCCGAAGGCAGATGAGAACTCTGTCATGATCGATATCCTTCTTGAAGGTGGTGCAGTCCTCTACTGCAAAACAACGGTGCCACAGGGGTTATTTGTGAGTCTGTCATCCAGCCTACCAAGTGCGTTGCAGGCCGTTTAAGCCAGGTGAATCAATGTTGATGAGGCAAATGATTTGTCACGCATCGCATAAGGCCAACCACGGCTCCAGGTGGATCTAGCTACTCCGCCCGCTCTCCACTCCAAACTCTTGAAATTTCTTATTTCAACGTTGATAAACCGCCTCAACACCACGAAATTAGGGTCGCCCGGTGCGAATTTGAAGTCAAAATCTCTGGACTCGGCAAAATGTACGCAAGTGGTCGCTGCCGCAACCCCTACTCAGAATAGCATAAAAGACGCTCTTTTCCCGTCGAAAGAAAAAGCAGGCCTTTCCTCCTCACACTCCCAAGCCATTCGGGTGTTCTTCGCAGGATAAGCTCTGCGTTACCAAGTGTTCTTCGCAGGATAAGATCTGCGTTACCAAAAGTTCTTCGCGGGAAAGGCCCCGCGTAATCAAGTTTGCCTCGCAGGGGGACGCTGCGTTATCAAGGGAGACCCGCAGGAGAGGGCTGCGTCAACAAGTTCTCCCTCGCAGCCCATGAGCCCTGTCATTGTAAAAACGCGCTCCCTCACAGCCCATGAGCCCTGTGTTTTATAAGTGTGCTCCCTCACAGCCAATGAGCCTTGTGTTGTATAAATGTGCTCCCTCACAGCCAATGAGCCCTGTGTTGTATAAGTGTGCTCCCTCACAGCCAATGAGCCCTGTGTTGTATAAATGTGCTCCGCGGGGACCTCCGCGATATCAAGTGCCTCCGCAGGGGGACGCTGCGAAACCAAGGGAGACCCGCAGGAGACCGCTGCGATACCAAGTTCTCCGCAGGAGAGTGCTGCGTCAACAAGTTCTCCCTCACAGCCCATGAGCCCTGTGATTGTAAAAACGCGCTCCCTCACAGCCCATGAGCCCTGTGACTGTAAAAAGTGCTCCCTCGCAGCAATGAGCCCTGCGTTGTAAAAACGTGCTCCCTCGCAGCAATGAGCCCTGCGTTGTAAACATGTGCTCCGCAGGGACGCCTGCGTTACCAAGAACCTCCGCAGGAGACCGCTGCGACACCAAGTTCTCCCTCACAGCCCTGAGCCCTGTGATTGTATAATCTTGAGCTTCCATGCAGCCTTGAGCCCTGCGTTACCAAATTTGTGCTTGTTAGGCGACCCGTGGCGCCGCGGTCCTCGTCCTGATCCTCTGGCAATTGCAGGCACCTCTCCGTGGTGTCAGAGACTAGTATTCGCGGAATTACTCGAAGAAGCCAAGACCTGCTCCAAAAAATCGATAGAATCAAGAATTCAATAAGACGTGGTGTAAAATGACATCAGTATTGTATGTATGTGCCGCCGTACATGGCTCTGTTTCGAACAATACATTTGAAGCGCTCAACCATGCCCTGAGCTTCAAGAATGGACATTCTCCTCCACTTGGTGTGAATTAGAGCGTCGAGTTATGGCTGATAGCGGGGTGGCCAGTCGGGGTGGCGGCTGAATTTCAAGTGGTCTCCATTGGTTTGAGTATTTGTCCCTGCTGGCTGGAGTGGCAGCAGAATTCGTTCGAATGAAGGGAGATGCGGATTTTCGACGGTGGGTGGGTGGTGTGTCGGTGTGTGATGGTGCTGGCGTGTTGATGGTGAGAGCATGTTGACAGTGAGGGCATGTTGACGGTGATTGACGGTGATGGATGGTGTGTTGATGGTGAGGGCCAAAGGTGAGTGAGGGTTGAGAGTGAGAGCTGGTGATAACGGGGCCGGACCAGCGGGTCCCTTGCGGGTGATTCCCGGGCGGTGAAGTGGCGGCCAACGGTAAACACCCGTCCCGTCATAGTGGGGATCTTTGTTCCTGACGAATGCAAAAGCTGATAAACAGTGCGAAATGATGGCTCTAGAAATTAGATTCTATTTGTTAATACATTATCCGATCGGTCTTCTGTATGACGTTTCTCGACTCAGGCATCGTCGTGCTCTTTGGCCATATTCTGTACAGTATCTGAGGTAGTGCTGCCAAATGCTGATGCGATACCAGCAATATATATATCCCCAGGCCAATCCCATTAGGTACATTATTGGCGGTAAAATCGGCAAAGAACCAGTAGGGGACCAGTGATAGAAAGCCTAGACCTTCTAAACATATTTCAGATATCATTTTGTCTCGGCCTGATCGAATGAAATACACTCCTGGAGCTCGAAACGCTGATCTTGCCGGATGTGTGCCCAGAAGAAAGGCGGGTGTGCTATTCAGCCAGATGATGGATATAATTGAGCAGATAGATGTGTTGTGGCGTTTTCAGCCCTTCTGCCTGCGTGGCCTAGTAGAATTTCTCATTTGCTTTTAGCAACGGCACGGGTTCGACTCACGCAGGGTACATCATTTGAGGGAGCCCGCCCTCGTCCGCACGAACTCATAGCCCGCTTTGTGTTTCCTGGATCATTTCCCGAGTTTTCGCTCTGCGGATTAATTTTTACCCTTTGCAATTGAGAATGGCTAAACCATATTTGCGAACTCGATTGACGTTCCCGCCAGAGTCAGCAACCGGCGGTAGTGAAATTGATGGCTATCGAGGACCTGCTGCACTAGACGCATGCTACGAGGGGCAAAGGGCTGGGTGCACTTGCGCGTCGCGTAAAACACACGTGCCACGCCCACACTGAGATTAACATCAGCGGCTACGTTCGATGTCAATGAGTTTGTCTTCTTCACCATATATCACAAACCGACCTGCATCTTTCAAATAAGAATTGGGCTTTTGTGACCGTCTAGGCAATCAACTGGCCGGCCTGGCGAGGCTACTTCTGCCGACGAGTCCGTGCCCCTCAGCGGTGATATCAAGGATGCATTCGGTCGACTTGCGGCTGTATTGAGCATAGCATCAGGTTCCAGCGACCTGACTTTAGTTAGTCGACTTCCGAAATATTCTAGTTATGAGAATCTACTTACCAGGGTCAGTCGTAAATAAGCCATGGTGGCAGCTTTAAATGACCCGTCTGCATCAGAACACAGGCAAGGCACGTTGCCGCTGTATATATTCAATCTAGCACCAACTATCAGCAGCTGGTGCAATATGGTCGCTCGCAACTTACCTTGTTCGCGGCCTAGACGAGGTCCCCGGCCGGCTATAATGCACTTTCTCGATCGGACTCACCCGAACGGCTGGATTAGGACTGTGTTTCACTAAACTCTATGTTAACATAATTTCTGTTGACTGAGGGTGGTATAAACTTGCCGTGATGCAGCCTGGCATCAGCATAGAAAACCAGGGATGAGGTAGCGGGCTCATCTCGACCACACGTGGAGGGCCTGGGATCACATCGTTTCACAGGGAATGGATGTAGCCGTACCTGCCAATGCACGATTCTGGGCAGATCTTCAACCATGTAAGGGCAAAGTAACACTGGACGAGAGTTTCGTGGTATTTTGTTTGCGACAAACTTCGACCTGGCCTCAAAATGGCTGCTCTCGCGGCGAGGGATCTATGGCGAATCTAAGCATGGGCTGTCTTATCGCTTGCTCAGCTGCAATCAGGGGTTGAAATAATTGACCTTGAGACTATTGCCAATAGTTCGCTTCAGTCTGCTGATTGATGCTCAACGGGGAATTAGTTGTTTTTTTCCGCGCCCGTCAGGTCTCGGCCTCTTCTCGTTGTCGCAGATGCTCTGATGACTCGCTCGATTAACAGTGAGGCTGGTTCATGGCTACCGACAAGCCTTCGGATTGGACGTGGGCAGGATACTCATAGCCGTCGAAATATTGCCAAAAACTAAGCATTGACTGTTAACCTTTGTTCGGACAGGGTAATGCCGAAGAGACGAAATGAAAACACTCTGGAATTTTACCGTATGGCTAAGCAGAGGGCATCAAGGCTTTCTGCCTTGGCCCGCTAATATGCCAGGTGAAGTGGCCGTGCCAGCCACGTCTTCAGTGACAATAAAGGCGCAAGCGTAGTAATATTCAGTGGCTTGGCCCACCAGGTTGTTGAAGCTGATTTAGTTTCGAGCACGAGGGGGGAATATAGCTCGGTCCGGTCGAGTGTAAAATTGAAGCTCGCCCTATGAAAAAAAAAGAATCTTCAGCGATATCTTCTGAAGAACAGAGAGCCACGAACGGATAGCACTCGTAAGGAGATTAAAATGCAGTACCCGGGTTGGGAATGGATAGGGGCAAAGCACTAGCGTGACTTACAAGACATTGAGCAGGTCGCGATAGAAATTTTGCCATCCTCTAGAAAGGCCCGTCAGCACATGATATCTGCCTTGAAAGTTGCTGCAGTTTTTGAACTTACATTTTCAGTTATTGATGTCCACTGCAGGGAAATGTATAAAGGATGGCACCTGATTATCTTCAATCATTAGCAGGTAGCTTATGAAGGTAACCTGTAACTCACCGTGCTCGCAGCTTGGACAATTCCAGATTCTGATCCTGAAGGGTTCGCTCAATGGCTTCTCAGGGGAGAGCGGAGGCGGGGCTAATATCAAACATTTTCCAAGTTAGCATGATTCTAAATGACTGGGCAGCTACACTCACTGCTGTTCGAAGACCTCTTGTGTCGAGTAAAGCCAGGCTAGTGTGATGCAACAAGTCAGTCAACTTCGTTACAGGATTTTGAAGCAAACATACCAAATAGTAGCCGCTGAAACGAAAAGAGTTCGATA